ATATCTTTAAAGAGAGAGAGTGTGAAACAAAAGAAAGCCAGGAATATAAGTAGGAAGTTTAAAAAGAGAAATAAAAAGAGTTAAAAGAGAGATGAGAATTGAGCTGTGAAATAAGCCTGCGCTTGTGTAGTAGAAGCAATGGAACCCAGGAGAGAGAAAAGGACTAGAGAGTCAAGTAGTATCAGTGCCCTGGAGTCAGAGACATTTTAGGAGGAAGGAGGAGGTGTTCCAGGCACCACTGACGTGGCAAGATAAAGGGTGACCTCTGGAGCAGCATGTGGGAGACAGTTTGATGATTTACAGAGATCAATTTCAGCAGAGAAGTGGGGTCAGAGTCAGGAGATGAGAGATGAGGAAATGTGTTTGTGAAGGTAGATTGTTGTTGTTTACATTTCGACACGTTTGGTATCAACAGGAAGGTGAGAGAAGGGACAGTAGCTCAAATCAGGAAAGAGACTGATGACTGATGATTTAAGTAAAAGATGATAGGGGTTATCTAATTGGTGATAGTCCTGGAATAAGCGGAAAGTGTCTAATAAAGGAGTTTAAATGGCGAGATTAACTCTGGAGAAGAGGAGTATCTTCTTTTCCCCTGAGATAGGAGAGCAGGGAGAAATATGGGGTGTAACCAAGAGGAGAGAGGGTGCAATGTGTGCCAAATGGTTCTACTGAATTGTTTTTCTACTTCTCGATTTCTTCCTCCATGAAATGGGGACAATGACAGTACCAACGTCATAGACTAGTTGTGAGGTTTGAATGAGATACTATATAGAAAGTGCTTGATGAAGAGCAAGGCAAAATGAAGTTCAAATAAAGGTGATGCTTGCTGTTGTAGAGATGAGAAGCGCCAGAAGAGAACCATAGGAAATGAAAAGAGTTGGTGCTTTCTTGGGGCAGTAAAGGAAGATGAGGGGTCAAGTTCATTCACTTGGGAAGTGGTAGAATTTAAGGACTGAGCAGGAAGGAAATTTTGGAAGAGAGAATGTGGGGAAAGGGAGACACTTTGACATTTAACAGCATAAAATAAAATGATTTCAAGACCAATAAAATGGACACAGTTTAAAAGGCCCCAAGTTTAAAAAATAGGTTTCAAGCATCCCATTCTCTTTCTAGCTTACATTTCTTAGTGTTCTACCAGAATTATTTGACCTAATGGAGACATTCAGCCCATGAATCGAATACTGTTTCATGCTCCATTGCTGCCCTCATGTTCTCACTTCCTTCTTCACCCTGGATAGATTTACTGGCTCATCATTATAATCACTCTCTTGTCCCTCCATCCAATCCATCAAGACCTTTGTTTCTCCCTCCTTGAGATACACTTGCCTGGAAAACACTAACCCTAATGAAACTTTATGATTTACTTTCTTCCCATCTTTTGAGTCCCCTTATCTGTGAAGAATAATTCCACAAAGTCATACAGTATGAGTTAGGGAAGCACATCAAGATCAAGGCACACACAGCTCCCTGTTTCTTCAGCATCTTCACAGAGAGGCATCCCACATCGAGGAGGGTTTTGTTCTAGTGGAGGCTCCCTCCTCCTTTTCTCTTCCTTCATATAGGGCTTTGATGGCAACAACCTTCTTAAGAAAGGGACATTCAGACTGCTTGGGGAATTGAGCTGCCTAGATGTCATGCCAGACATTTACCACTGTCTGGGAAAGCAGCAGCCCTGTACTTTAGAGGGTACCTGGGGACCTTGGATCCTTGTGGATGGCATAGCCCTCCAGCCATGGGAAGGAGTCTAGGCTAGTCTGTTGTTCAGGTGTTTTGGGATCAACATCTAGGGTCATTTTTGGACAATGCTGCTCCTTCATAACAGTCTATCCCCAGGACTCGGAGTGCTCATCAGCTACATGTGGAATAGGAAGAGAGGTTATTTGACTTCCACCCAATCTTTAGAGTCTAAGTTAATTGCATTTGTCATACGTCCTTAAGGATGAGCTAGATTTTTGGTCACTTCCCCTCCCCACCAGTTATTAGCAGTACATTCTATAGAGAACTTGAGGTTGTTTCTTTCACCCTTTGACATTGAAGTTGGAAAAAGAGAGGAGTGTAATGATCCTCTGTAACCCTCCTTCTGCATGTTCCTTGGGGCATGAGGCTCCAGCTAGAGCAGAGGTGCTGAGAGCTACCACTGCTCACTCATAGGGCCCCTGCGGGGCTGCAGCAAACATTTGTTTGATGCACTCTTACAAAAGCTACCAACAGGGGTCACAGAGAGCAAGCTCTGCCTGGCTATTTTTGCCCCAGATCCCAGACCCCAAAGAAAGGAAAAAGGCTTTATGTTTAGTCAGTGAAGCCAACTTGTGGTGACCTCCCTGAGGATAGGGGTGGTGGAGGATAGGGCCCCGGCCCTAGCATCCTCTTGCAGATAAGCTCTAGGGACCTCCGGTACGTCTTGCAGACCACAGGAGATGTGGGGGGGGGGTTCTATGAGTGAACAGTGGCAGGCAAGGTGATCTTTTATAGTCTTACGGGGGGGACTGCAAGGTGAGAAGATGAAGGGCCTGATCTCTAAAGGCATTTGACCTCCTCCTCGCCCCATTTCTTTGGCACAGGTTTCTTCTCCTCCCTGATTCATGTGCAGACCCGGATGGTGTTTCTTGCCCTGATAACTGCTGACTCTACTCTACTTTTCCTCCCATTCTGGCAACTTTCCCAGGGGAATCTTTCAGTTCCTAAAAGGACTCTGAAACCTGTATAACTTTCAGAGCCCACAAAACCTGGATCTGCTCTTGGTTTCTGGCAAACTTCCAGGGAATTTGTCCAGAACCAGTAATTCACAAATGTCCAACAATTTTATAAGGTGACTCCAAGTAGGTTCAGAATCTCTAGGAAGTCTCCTCCAATTTCATGCACCAACTGAAGATAAGAGCAGTCACGTCTGTCCCTCCGGACAGTGAGCCTGGGTAATTTCCCTTGTAGGAGGGAGCCGGGCACTAACCCTCCGCGGGTTTGCCAGCCTTTCCCGTCCACTCAGTGACACTCTGTCTTCTTAGCAAGTCCTCCAGTCACAGTAGCTCTGACTATAGAGGAAACTGAGTTTACAACATTTCTTTTGTTTTTAAGATATGATTTCAGACTTGTGCAGGGTCAGCAGGTCTTTGTCGCCTGTATTTTCTTGTAAGAAATCTCCAAGGAAAAATTTCAGGCAAAATACCTGTGTTTTGTGGACTGATAGTGTTTAAAAAAGAGGCCTTTTACTAGACAGTTGGAGGAGATGATTGGATAGCTGGTTGGATTCAATCAGGATCGGATCAGGAAGGATGGAATTAGGGTGGGGCTGATTTGAGTAGAATCTTGAAGAGATACTGGGTCCTGATTGTTGGTTCTTGTTTTCTTTGGAAATGTTTTCTTGAGGGAGTACATGTTTTCTTGAGAGGAAAATCATCTCTAATTTTATCCAAAGCAAGACTATCAGAGGAGGCTTCACTGAGAAGGTGATGTTTGTGCTGAGACTTGAGAGTTGCCTGGGTGCCAAGACCACCAGGCAGGAGACACAGCCAGGAGTGTGGCTGGAACTGAGAGAGCAGGAGGTACAAGGAGAAAGGGGTGAGGTCAAGAGGTGATCATGTAGGGGCCAGATCATGCAGGGATTTGTCGGACATTTGGAAGATTCTAGGTGGGATGGAGTAGATGTACTTGATGTTTGAGGAGGGAGGAAGGTGGACTAGAATATTTAGAGGCTGGAAATTAGGAGAGTGTAAAAGGATTAGGAAACAGTCTTAAGGGGCACTTGGAATGTGTTAATGAAGTAGTTTGCTAATGTGCCTTTTTTCCCCTGCCATTAATGGGACCTTTTGTTTCACTGTTAAGGCTGCTAGTTGCTATTTTTACATTGTAATTCTTCTTTTTTTTTTATTGATTTATAATCATTTTACAATGTTGTGTCAAATTCCAGTGTAGAGCACAATTTTTCAATTATACATGAACAAATATATATTCATTGTCACTTTTTTTTCTCTGTGAGCTGCCTACACTGAAATTCTTTATCTTACAAAAAGAACTTTCTCTTGATGTTTTCAAGTAAGAACTTAAAAACGCCCGTGAATAGATGTTGAATTTCACTAAATCCTTTTTTGGTATCTACAAGATGGTATTTTTCATTTCTTCCTTAATGCTCTGAATTATATCATTAGATTTTCCTGTATCGAATCATCCTTGCAATCCTGGAATTCTGGGATACATTCTATTAGGTTAGAATGTATTATTCTTTTACTATATTGCTGTTGTTGGATAACACTCTACTTTATGCTTTCATCTATGTTTATAAATAAAAATGGCTTGTAGCTTTATTTTCTGTTGTCTTTTTTTTTTTTGGTTTTGCTATCAGAGATCAGAATAGCCTCATCTGAGTAGCTTTCCAACTTTTCCTATACTCTGAGACAACTTGCATAATAAGAGTAAACTTTTCCAAACAGAAACAGACTCATAGACATAGAAAACAAACTTATGGTTATGGGGAGGTGGGGAAGGAGGTGGGGAGGGAGGTGGGAAGAGGGAGCTCGAGGCTTGCAGATACTAACTGCTACATATAAAATAGATAAAAACCACATGAAATCATTGCCATGTTTATTCCATTGTATGAATATACTACAATGTATTTTTCCATTCTACTGATGATAGGCATTTGGCTTGTTTCCAGTGTTTAGCTACTAGAAATAATGTTGTTGAAACTATTCTTTGCTGTGACTTTTAATGCACAGCCACACACATTTCCTAGGATGGCTGAATCATAGCACATGGGTAAGCTCGATTTTAGAGATACTGTCCAGATAGTTTTTCAAAGTGAAGGTAATGATTTCTGTTCTCCTTGGGGTATGAGAATTTACATTGTTCCACATCAACACCATCTCTTGTATTGTTCATCTTATAGAATTTTAGCCTTAATTTCAGTGGGCAGTTATATTCCATGGTGGTTTTATTTGTAGTTCTCTTATAACTTTTTCCAAACATTGGCTTTCAACCTTTCTGTATTATTTTTTTTTTCCTTCTAGGCTTTGTTTTCGACACTGTCCTGAAGACACTACATTCAGAATACCCACCCAGGACTGGGTGATTCACTAGACCTCAAAGGACACAGCCAGGTGTCAACTGAGGAAAATCATCTAGTTGCAGGCTCAGGCACCATCAATCCTGGGCTCCCCACAGTGGACTCCCCTGAAGAATCCCCAAGCAGAAGAAATATCTCATTTGCATAAAAGTCCACCGGAGGTTCCTGCTGACTCAAAGATATTCAAACCCACTTTTGAAAAAGTAGCATTTTTTAGTATCCTCTCCTATACAGAACAAACCTAGACATTTGGGAGTTTGTTGTTTATTAATGGAAAGTATGAAGTCTAAGGCCAAATGTACCCAGAACCCAAGTTGTAAAATAATGGTATTTCATCCAACCAAAGAAGAGTTTAACGATTTTGATAAATACATTGCTTACATAGAATCCCAAGGTGCACACCGAGCAGGCGTGGCTAAGATAATTCCACCAAAAGGATGGAAAGCCAGGCAGACCTACAATGATATCAATGACATCTTAATAGCCACTCCCCTCCAACAGGTGGCCTCTGGCAAGGCAGGTGTGTTTACTCAATACCACAGAAAGAAGAAAGCCATGACCGTGAGCGAGTATCGCCACTTGGCAAGCAGTGACAAATACCGGACTCCACCACACTTGAGTTTCGAGGAACTGGAGCGCAAATATT